TAAACAGCATTAGAGAAGATTTTAATAAGAATGCAGGATCCTCCAAAACGGGGTGACACACTGTAAAAAATAAATAAATAAAAGCAAAGCTGCTTCTGCTTCAGCTCATTTCCATAAAACCTCTATGTGCCCCGTGAGAATCTCGGGGTTCAGTTTGCCGTCATTTGCATCTGCCATGAAACAGCATGTACCTCTTAAACCATTTTGTGCAGCAGGGTGTTTTAACTACTCACTGGAGTCTCCTCGTCCATGATAATGCCTTCACACCAGCTAAATAATTTTGGTCTAATTTCCTGTGTAGTGGGGAATGTTTATCAGACCCTCGGCGGGAAACATATTGGATGAGCAATACCAAGTGGCGATGATCGTCACCTCCAGACCTGCAGATGGAAGCTCATTTGAATTTAGACTGCACAACCTCTATTAAACTTGTAAATCTTCATTAACTTCCTCCTGCAGAACACAAATATGCTCACAGCACTGAGCACCGCTGCAGTTTAGACAGTTTGGACGATACTTGGGCCATAAAGACGTTTCACACATTGTTGAATTTCCTGACAACCAGAGTTTTTTTTAAACATACATTATTCTGTCATTCTAATTCAGTTTCTCAGTCTTTAATAAAATGTGTCTGTTTTTAGGACATCCTAAAAATGCATACTTAGCACCGTTAATGTAAAGAAAACCAAAATGGTAAGACTAATAATGTGAGCTTGTTACTTCTTGACCTACTTAAAATATTATTACAAGTGCTATGCAACAAAACCCTTCGCCCTTACTGACACAAATGGGCAGGTTAATCACAGTGTGACTGTGTGACCTTTTTCCCTTCTGTACTTTTTGACTTCCAAAGTTCCAAACTTTAATGCTACGGTTCAATGTTAAAGTTGTGGTCAGAAAATATTCTTAGCAGCCTCTCTGTGTCTCTCTTTAGCCCGTTTCAACAGATGTTGAGAATGATATTGACATTATTAAATGTGACTAAGAGTAACTGAGGCATGTGACTGCCTATAAAAACACTTAATGTTTACAGTTCTTTTACAGTAACAAAGTTAACAGTTCATCTTGCGTAGCACTTGTTATGATATTTTGAGCATGTTTAGATGTAAAACAGATTGCCTCAAAGTTAACCCCTTTACTGCATTTACAAGTTGATCCACTCAGTCTACTACTCAGTCTACCCCATATCGTCCCTTTTCTCTACAGTGAGTACTGAGTGACTGTGTCAATAATGGCTGGATTTCTGTTTAGCGATTTACTGCCCTTAGTCCAGATGGATACCATCAGTTATGAAGCATTTTATTTATTTATTTTTTTACATTTTATCTTTACAGAAAAATTAAATTCAATTACATCCATGTGTTAATTCTAAATCCTATGCAATGTGCACTATAATCATTCATAAAATAAATGACATGTACGAGATAATTCACATAATAAAACTAACAAACAATGTAGCAAAGCATTTCTTTTCAAAAGAGGCATAATGAGATTAATGCAATGGACCAGCACTATGTATTTTTCCCTAGGTATCAATTCACTTATAAGTCAGTGTACACCTTTAATATGTCCTTTTGAATAATAAAAACAAAAAACAGGTCACGAATCATTGTCCATGCATTGTTGCACAGGCGGAATACAGGTAATGTCTCAGCTTCCTTGTATTTGTAGAGGACGTGCAAGGGTGACTGAATAGTTCATGAGATTTGGAATCATGACAGATGTAGTAACATAACAGCATCATGGACAAAAATGGTTAAAGGGAGGAAGCATTTCATGCAAGTCTAAAAAGTTTTAGTCCTTTAAGATCAATGTGACTCCCTAACCTTGTCCCATCCTGCATCACACATCCGAATTGATGCTCAGGTTTGCCAGTCGTGGGTCAGAGTTGATCTCGTACCTGTAATGGTACCCTTCCATATGGTCCCTACAAGCGTCCCGAAAGTTATAAATCCAACGTTTTATGCCTTTTCTGTTCAGGTACAGCACCAACAGGAAAATGACACCAATTAGTGCCAGAACCAGACCCAAAAAAACATAAGAAGTCTCCAACACACCTTCCATGTTGCCAGAGCAGTTTAGATGGGATGGATCCACGTGCATGAGCAGATGTCGTCTCAAGGCCTCAGGGTCTTTGCAGGTCAGATTCTGCATGTCAATGACCTGAGTGGAATTTTTCAACCATAACAGTGTGTCCTCTATGAAGCAGTCACAGCGCCAGGGGTTCCCTGACAGCCAGATGCGAAGGTCAGGCATGCTGCTGAACTCAGCGAGGGTGGTGGTCGGCAGGTACTTCATGCTGTTGTCTCTCAGGTCAAGGTTATGCAGTTGTGGCACCTTCAACGTCCCATTCTGGATGGAGATGATAGAGCTGTTCTGCAGGCTGAGGTTGACCAGGTTTGAAAGGCTCATGAAGGTGTCTTCTGGGAGAATCACAAGGTCGTTGTTGGACAGGTCCAGAACTTTCAGCCTGTCAAGCTTCGCACTCTGCAGCACGCCGACGACCACGTCTATGTCGGTATGATTTTGGAAAGACTTACTGAGGTTTAATACCTCCAGCCTATTAATGTCAGGAAGCGCACTATCGCTGAAAGTCTGGAATTTGTTGTTGCTCAGGTCCAGTCGGACAAGGTTTGGCAAGTTCTCAAACACCTTTTCCCCAACAGACTCTATCTGGTTCCCACTGAGATAGAGATCAGTTAACATTTCCAGTTTGGTTGGGAAGGAGTCCACGGTTATATCAGAGATGTTGTTTCCCGTTACAAACAAGAACCTGGTATTGAGCGGTAAGGACAGTGGAATCGCACTCAAGTCCTGGTTTTGGCATTTGACCGTTTGTGAGGAGCACAAGCATCTGTCCGGACACGAGCAACGGGAGAGTGCGACCGTAAGGAGCAGGACAAGTAAACGGCTCATACCGGACTTCAGCGCTCCGCTCCGGCTCAGTCCGATCCTACAGGCGTCAGACGAGCTCAACAGGCGCATCTTGGAATTTTAAAAATCAGTCTGTGCCGAGCCCAAGGAAAACCCCAGTTCAGTCTCCGCCTTGTGGAAAGTTTTTACCACTCAAAGTGATTTACTCAGCGTTATCCTCGTGAAAAACGCTCCCCTTCCAGCCATGCATTCATACAGAACTTATCCCCACACCATTGTGGCTTCAGTCTGCATGTCCACAGTCACATTAGGGAAGTGGCGAAAGACTGAAACTTCCAGGGTCTTCCTTCCTTACGTCTTTTCAGAGAAGAAAAGAAAAACGTGTTTCTCAGGTTCTCAGATGAGATGAACGGCTGATTCCCATGCAGGAGTGAAGACCGGTGGAAAAGTTGCTCGGGATACTGTTTCAGAAACAAACACAATGAGCCCCTGTTGTCTTATTCCAATGTTTCCTCCTGTTACATACGCAGATCCAGAATGTAATGAAGCTCAGGGAGTCTGAGGGAGAGAGAGCGAGACAGAGCGATGGAGAGAGAGAAAGAGAGAGCGGCTGGGAGCGTACCATCCTTCAGGAAAACAGGGGTGGAAGAAAACCTCAGAAGCTTCTATTAAACCAATTACTTTTTGTTTACACCCCCATCCAATAAGCAATATTTTCCACTTGGCATAACTGCCAAAACATGCAATGTGCAATGTTTTGTGGTCTTATTTGATGCTTTGCTCCTTATTACTTTATTTTCACAAAATCAATATATCCCCTGCTAATAGTTACTGATGCTAAAAAGTAATTACTTTTGCTAGAAAATGCTGTATTGACCCACCTGCATAGTCTAGTACATTTTTCCATATGCAAAAGGAAAGATTACCAAAAAGATGCTCATTGTTTTGCTGAAATGTTCTATCCATGTCTATTCGTTACATAGAGAATAAAACTCGTTTAAATGTTATCAGTGCAAAACCAACACAGGTTGTATTCTATTTTTTATTTTTTTGCATAATGCATTAAGAACTGATGCATTAGATATTTTCAGGTTTGTACGTGCGTATGTATGTATGTATTTTTCTTAAACATTAAACTTTTCATATCTTTTTGGTGAGAAGACCCATGTGTGTCTTGTGATTCTGCAGTATTATTTTGCCTTAAAAAAGTGTGTATCAATTTAGGCTTAAATGGAGGAAGGCGGCATGCTCATCAATATGTCATATTTGGAAGCCCCTGTGTGGATCCTGGTGTAACCTAAGCTTTACCCTCCCTTGACCCTCTCCTATTCTTGGCTGAGGTCAATGTGACAATCATCTAGGTAATTCCATGACACCTGTATTGCAGTTGAAAGTGATACAGCACCGAACATGGTATATGTTGTGTATGAAGCAAAACTACAGTAGATGACACAATTTTGCTAAGCGAATAATGTTTAGCTTTTAAAACACTTTGCTCAGGAGATTCGCCGACTTTTTGGGTTCAATATAAGGATAATAAAAAGAGGTGTTTACACGAATTAAATCCCATAAAACATAATAGCAGAGTACCTGAAACACCGACGTACAAATACCTACCGTTGTCTCTAACTGCACACAAACTACATTTCTGGATGGATAACTTCCATATTGTATAACAATCTGTTTTCTCGCTGTCTCTTTTAAAGCTCTTAAGAGCAATCAGAATTTGTAATCAATGACGTTATCTTAATTCTTCATACGTGTGCGTAAATCCGTGCGATTACCAATTCATAATTCGCTGACCAAAAAATAACGCCCTCTAAATCCAACCAATAGACGTTAAGTATGCACAGGCCTTGAGCAATCAGAAGTCCCGAAAGTACTAGGTCTTTCCGTCCAACCTGCAGGGTTTTGGGATCTTGTCAAAAATTGCTTCAGCGGTCAAAGTGTGCATTGAAGATAAAATGTCACAATCTTTGCTCGTCGTTGATGCAAGCTTCTCCATTTGCAATTTTTTCTTCATCTAGCGGAAGGTAAGGAGTAAAGTCGTGTTTATTTGATACAATTCCAGCTAACATTTACCGGCGATGATGTGTCGGCTAAGCTAACAGCTAATCTTAAATCTCCTAAATACATAGTATCGGTACATATTTCCAAAACATTATACGTTGTAGTTAATATTTTTATCTGTGTTGAAGGAAGACTTCAATGTTACGTTTTAAAGTGTTTTTTTTACCGTTTAAAGCGAACGGTTGTTTTTACGTTTTGGCCCATGAGCTGTACATTTCCATAAATGGAAAAAGTAGGAGTTTTAAACGTTTGTTTTGACTTATGAAACTGTAATTCCTTAGATAGAAACATTGGTAGAAGCTAAATAAGGTTGTACCTTCATCTTGTCAAAGTGTTGTGTTGCATAATGTCGCTGTTTTTTCTGCAACAAAACCCCAATTTTGTGACCAAGATATTTACATACTGCTGTAGTTCACTCTTCCTACACTGCAGTGCTAGCACAAAATAAGTGTTTATTTGAATGAAGTAATCATTTGAGTAAATAAATATTTTGCTTATTATTAACACTTCACACAAGGTTGTCAAAATTATTTCAGTACTAAGCTCGCACTTATTATAAAGTTTTGTGCTGTTTTTACTTGTTAACACACTTGTTTTCCACAGGTTCACTCTACAATTATGGAGTTCTGAAAAGGAGTTTGAGAGTTTTGGGGGGAAAGGGAGCCTTTCCCCTCAAGTTTAAAGGTTGGACTGTTGGATGACACTTTCAGGGGTTGATCAAATTGTTGCCTTTTGTAAAGTAGCCGAGATAATTCTATTTTTGTAAACACGGATATGTAAGTTTTAGTAAAATTTTTTTTTATTTATTTATTGAAATACTGATGCCAATGTATGTTAGGTGCACCTTAATTATATTTCAAACTTCTGTCAAAATGGTTGACTGAAAAAGTCTCACAAAGGCTCTGGGGTCGCTAGGGTGCAGTGGAACCTCAACACAAGCACAATTCTAGCACTCCAAACCATTTTGACCTTTTGTTAAATTAATTTTTAGTTTAATCTTTGCTTGTGAGTGGGCAGCTAAAGTACAGTTCTAGTTAGAGCTTTTTTGTTAAAACCTGATTTTTGTTAATTACAGTTCTTGGGAGTTTTTTTTTGTTTTCTTTCTCTTTTTTTGGAAACGGAGTTTTTGAAACATTTGATGTGTTAAAGTCTTTAGAGGTCAGAATGAGTCTGACTCCACTGGACTGCACTCACAAATGCCGCTCACTGCAGCATGCACAGAACATAGTGGCGGCACTGACCAATGGCTCTGATGGACAGTTACGGGCTTTCTTGTCTGCATACTGTCATAATTCGAACATCTTGCGGGATGACTTTGGCCGTACATCGCTGCATATGGTGGCCTCTCTGGGTAAAAAAGCCTTGCTGGAGTGGCTGCTGGAAAATAAGTATGGTGACCTGACAGTGAAAGACAAGGAATCTGGATGGACTCCTCTGCATCGCAGCGCCTTCTATGGACACATCCATTGTCTCATCCCACTAGTCAAGGTATGCTTTTTTTTTTTTTAAGAGAGCTTCTTCAGGAAATTTATCTTTTTTGTCATATGACTTTTGCAAAATTATTTTGCAGCATGGTGGACTTCTCTCCACCCAAGACAAGGAGGGTCTGTCTGTACTCGACCTTACAATGAAGGACCGACCAGCACATGTTGTGTTCAAAAACACTGGTAAGAGCCACATCAGTTCTTTACTTACAGTGACTAGTACATGGCAATCATTTGCTCCAGTTACAGAACACGTTGCATCACATAACATTTTTGTTGACGTTCACTAGGTCACTAGGTGACTCCATGATGTAATATGAATCACACCTTTAATCTTCAGGTTGAAATATTGTTGTTTCTTTGTTTTGTAATTGGGTGTTTTCTCTTTGCTACAGATCCAACTGAAGTCTACACATGGGGGAATAATGCTAATTTTACTCTGGGCCATGGTAATCAGGAGAGCCGACAGCACCCTGAGATTGTGGATGTGTTTGCAAGGACAGGAGTTTACATAAAGCAGGTAGGATAACAACACCTGTCCTCCTGAGAAATGGTGTTTCCCTGCAGGTCTTCCCCATCCTCAAAACTCCAGTTATATGCGTCACTCAACTACAGGCCTCTTTGTGTAAAACTGTGGTGGAAAAAAGTCAAATGACATGGGAATTCTCAAAAAGGGAGACCATCTGAGTAAACTAACAAAACAGACACTCCCCCTAGTCCTATATTACACAACTTCACAGCTTCTTGGGAATCTTCTTTTCTAAAGTACTTGGCTCACACATGCATGGTAAATCCACAGCTGTTAAAACAATCTTTATCCTCAACTTTATTACTGCACCTAAATTAAATGTTTTATATTTGTACCATGAGTCATGAGTGAATTTTGTTATGACACTCGCTCTGCTATAGTGGTGAATATTTCAGCTATGTTGCTTATTTTATTTAAATCACCTATTTTTTTTTAAATTGTAACAATTATGTAAAAATAAAATTCTTTAGCTCTGTCCGAATGGATATTTTCTATCCAAATGTAATTATTATTTAAGTATTAAAGTAAAAAAAGTGAAAAATGTGCACGTCTACTTTGCAAAATAAAAGTTGACATTGAGATGGGTGAAGATTTTACACAGCTTTTAGTTGTTTTACCCAAGAATGTTGCATTAGAACTAAGCCTTTTGTGTCAGATCCCCCTTTTCACGGATAGAGCTATTGGTAGCCACCTCCCCCAAGTTGAGACACAACAATTGCTGCCCCCTGCCCTCCCCCCTGCAAAAACTCCATGCCCTGTAGGTGGGCCCACCTCCCCACTTTAAGACCACTGCATTAGACAGTACTAGAGGTTCACTGATTGCAACTGAACCATTTCTAGATTACCTTTTCCCCACTTTTTTCAATTAACAGCATTCACAAATAGTAAAAGGTGTTCTGCAGCCCAAAATTTTTTCTCACCACAAGTAATTATGAATGTTATATATAATGTTATATATAATGTTATATATATATACTGTGTGTGTATATATATATATATGCAGTGGAGATTATTTTGGAGTGGGATACAATCCTGGTGAAGATCTCAGCAGAGTGGTGCATCATTTTTTAACACAGTAGCAAGCCACTCCACTCGCTCGTGCCAGACCTTTTTTCATCACAACCCTCCATTTGAGAAACTTTCTAAAATAAACTATACATTTTGTTCTTTTTACTGTATGCTTTGTTCCGAGATATTTTGGCACTAAATATTTTTTTGAAACTAAAGGCAAAGCAGTGGGTAACAGCTAACTGTATTGTAAACTGTGCATACAGTGCCAGGCTACGATTTCAGGGGCTGGTCCTTCAGAGGCTCTTAAAGTGATTAATATACGTACCTGCTAATTCCGATGTCTTATATTTCCACCGCCCAGAGCAGGTGCAAGTTATAGCAAAATGAGTAATGCAGAATGACTCTGTTCAACATGCTGTCATTACCTTGTCTGATCTGCGGTTATTTGTTAAATCTATTGTCAGCCCCTATGATGTTGAATACAGCTTTATGTACCTGCTAAGAGCCAATTCATCCACACCTTTGTCATGCTTTTATTGCTGTTTACTGTAGAAATTATTGGTTTGAGGTGTGTGTGTGGTTTTTTTTTCTCTTTTCTAACCTGCACAACCTGTCATGCTAAGCAATTTCATAAAACCAAGCGAGGGGGAGGGGGAGAGGGAGGGAGTGGATTTGATTTCACGACCACACAATGATCCAGTGATGAGGCGCACAGCCGTTGTATTTCAAAGCCTAATCCAGCAGGTGCAAGAGGTTAAATATTAATTCCACAACGACATGTTTTTAATTAAATGAACTACAGTGGTGTGTATGCATATGTGTGAATGTCCACATCAATGTGATACTTGGAGGAACATCCCTGTGTTCCATTGAAGCCTTGAGGGGACCAATGTATTAGTAATGATGTTTGCTTTTCCACTTGTGCCCTGGCCCTCTATTGGCACAGTGTTTTACTATCACTACAAGAGGGATTGGCACGAGGTCCTGGAAAGAGTTCAGTGTCTGCTTCTGGCAGTTTTGGCCAGTACAGACCAATAGATCAGCACCATTGCTGCATTAGTAAATGTAATAGTTTTTAGAAGAAGTAAACAGTAGCACACATATGTTCACTGTCCATGCTGTCTTTTTAGGTGGTTCTGTGTAAGTTCCATTCTGTGTTCCTGTCCCAGAAAGGACAGGTGTACACATGTGGACATGGACAGGGAGGACGCCTTGGTCATGGAGATGAGCAGACATATCTGGTGAGACTCTTTTCAGTACAGCCTACTGTTGGAAAACAGATGCAACAGTGAACCATCTACTGCAGGGCTTCTCTCAGCTGCAATGCTTTTTACCATTCATTCATGATGCAAAGCCACTAAACATTCATAGTTTTGTTATATAATTGTCAACTCCTCAATTAAATTCTGATTATTATTCCTTAAACATATTTTTACCTTAATTTGTTCACAATGTACTCTAACATTATTGTCATCTCAGATGTAAAATTCGACCTGATGCTTTTAGCAAAGACCAGCTCCTTTTAGCACATTAGCTTCAGTATTTACTTCTACAAGTAGCTTTTACTTTACATGCATTTTGACATATATTGACTTGACTGACCCTTGGATGTTTTTTTTTATGCTCCTCACAGCTAGAAGGGCTTGTGAGTGGACCTTTATCAGTCAGTTTCCACCAGTCATTTATGTGCAACTGATAAATGTTTCAACTCCACCCTGGCTACAGTCACATGAGCAACTCAGAATAGAAATGCTAATTTTTGGCCTTTAAAATAAATGTCTGGAGCTGAAAGCCCTGAACCTCAAGGTAGAGATAGGAGGGGAGTGAGTTGAAGACAGGAAGTAGATCTACGGGAACACAAATACAGAAGGGTCAGGTGATGAATATGAACAAGAAGTGTTTAAAGATGATTATGATTTTTTTCTGGGGGCCAGTAAAACCTCTCAATTTGGGGTGAAAGGCACAAGTATATAATCTAGATCAAGTTATATTAAAGGAAATTAGATGAATGTTATTAAATCAGCTGCTTTTAAAAACACATTGTAAGTTCCTGAAACCTTGTTTACAAATGTTCTCAACACGGCTGTCCTCAGGTTCCTCGGCTGGTGGAGGGTCTCATGTCCCACCACTGCTCCCAGGTAGCAGCGGCTAAAGACCACACTGTGGTTCTTACTGAGGAAGGATATGTCTTTACATTTGGCCTCAACACTTTCTACCAGCTTGGCCTGGGACCTCCTCCTGTCTCAGTACATGTCCCTAAACAGGTAGGATAGTTACATCATGAATCCCATCTAATGAGCATAAAATGTATATTGTTGTCTGTAGAAACAGAAATAGACTACAAGTATGGAATATAAATACTTGTCTAATAACTCATCTGTTAAATAAGGCAGTACCTTGATTTGTTACAATTATTATCTAAAGAACATGTCAGTTTTTGATTTCAAGATTCCAATCCAATTTAGAGAGAATAAAGCATAAACATAAAATAGTAAATACAAAAGAAGTGTTGTATAACTTTAAACTACTTTTTAAGGAGTCATTTATGTATAACACATTACCTCAAGTTTTTCTGTACATATGTGACAACATTGATGTTCCTTAATTCTGCAGGTGTTCTCCAGGATGCTCAAAGGAAAGACTGCGATTGGAGTCGCAGCAGGAAGGTTCCACACAGTGCTGTGGACGAGGGAAGCTGTCTATACAGTGGGACTGAATGGAGGCCAGCTGGGCAAGTGTCACTTAGAAAGATTTCACCACAGTCAATGTTGTTGGAAAAAATAATGTACTAAAAAAAAACCTTAACATAAACAGGATACTTTGTTGACAACAAAGCATTTCCATGCTGTAGACTTTATGACCTCGTTGGCTTTAACCCCCAGGTTACCTCTTGGATCCTAATGGTGAGAAGTGTGTGACGGCCCTCAGGCAGGTATCAGCTCTGCACCACAAAGATGTTACCATTGCCATGGCGGCAGCTAGTGATGCAGCAACAGTAGCGGTGACAGAGAAGGGTGATGTCTACTTGCTGGCTGACTTCCAGTGCAAGAAGATTGCTTCAAGGTGGACAAAAGTCTACAGTGACAATAGCTACAAATTTAAACAAAAAAGAGAAAAAATTCTGTCATGTATTTGATTTCTTGGGTGAATAAATTATACATTTAATACGGTATAATTGTAGATTTGAAGCTGTCACATCCAATATTGTGTCTGTTTCTATTTTCTTTGCCAGACTGCTCAACATCAGGAAGGTTGTGGTGAGTGGTGGCTGTCTGGACCACCGTGTAGATCCACAAGTCCTGAATGCTGGAGGAGGGGAGAAGGCAGTCATACTGGCATTGGATGAAGCAGGCAGGGTAAGTGTGTCCCTCCTGTTTCTTCTCTCTCCTTTCCAGTCTTCTGCCTGGTATTTTGTTTTCACTTTAAAATGCTTTAGGCGGTAAACGTGTAATTATTTTGCTTGTAGCTTGTTTTTCTTAAATAATAGTACAGGGAGATAATGGATTATTGATTTTTCTCTTACGTTACAAAGTTCAGTTTACTCTGGATAAGGTTTTTAAGCTTCATTATCCAAGGCAGAGTTATTTTTAATGTGGACTAAGACTCTTCTCAGTCTTGTGCTGTTCCTTTCTCTGTCAGGTGTTTTGCTGGCGTTCGTCAGGCACTTCAGCAAGGCAGTGCCGGTGGGCGTACGGACGTCAGGTTTTCATGTCGGACATAGCTCTCAGTGAGAACAGCATGATGTTTGTGACTCAGGAGGGGGAGGGCTTCAGCGGAGCGTGGGCTGGAGAGTATAAAAAGTATAGTGACAAGAAAGGTGAGGAGTTAAAAGAGTACTGCATTATTTGCAGAAAGAGAAGCAGTAGGTTATTGTGATGTTGTGATGAATGATATAATAATGTATTCTTAATCAAATCTGTCATGTTTTATGGTGCAACAGAAGTCAATGTGGAGAATCCCAGCCATTCAGACGGTGTGACACAATACGAACGGATCCGCTTGGAAAAACTTGCTTCCATCCACAGAGCTGTCAGCATCACTGTGGACTCTAAAGGGCTAAATTTTGGAGTGCTTCAGTCTGACCCCAAAACCAGGTGGGAGGTGGTTACTACTTTTATAATGATGTACTTTAATTCAAGTGTGAAATACTGCTTGTAAATATTTAAGAATACTTTCCTAGTGTGAGATAAAAATAATTTATCTAAAGAGGCAGAAACAATTAACACTTTTTGAAAAGGAAGGTATAAAAACCTGAGAGACACTCGAGTGATAATTAAATTGTGGGAGACTGTGAGGCTGGGTCTTATTAAACAGACAGGCACTCAAAAGTCAAGTGAATGGTGAGATTTTTTAATCCTGAATGAAACATGACTTCTTTGATAAAGCACTGCAGCTGTTGTTGTTGATTGATTTTATTCTGTGGTAAAAACCTAATTTATTTTCTCAATTCGCATGTATCCAACCCACCCTGGCCTTGAATCTCAGGCTTTATCCTGTGGCTCCTCCTCTGAGTTCTTATGAACTTTTTGCTTTGTGAAAAAATTCAAGTTCTTTTTTTTTCATTTCACCACAATGTGGTTAATTCAATAACTAAAAATAATAAAATAAAAATCGACTGTGCATATATGGTTGTCCAATCATGTGGAGGTGTTTGGCTGCAGTGCTGGACCTACACTCCCACCGTGTGGTCAAAAGATTAAATTACTTATCTAAATTTGATGGAAAAGCAGTGTGTACAGGGTCCTATTCAGATGATATTTTAATGTAACTGATAATCAGCTCAATAAAAGACTATTTAATGAGGTAAACGATACAGTATCACAACTGTAGGGACACAGAAAACCTGGTTTTATACAAAACATTGAACTCTTTCTTTTTTTTCATACTTATTAGTCTCTTTGCACCATCTGCAGGGGTTATAACAGCGATTTAAAAAAAAAAAACATTCGGCTGTTTGATAGACAATGTTTTATTGTTTTTGTGTTTGGAATCTATCTTTTCTTTTATTTGAATATATCAGGTATTGTCATGTTGAAATAATATTGATAATTATTATATTTTTGTGTCCAGTTTGTATGAGATCCCCAGTATCTCTCCTTCCTCCTTCTCCCAACACTTCCGGAGCCTCCTGGAAGAGGCCGATGAAACAGACAGCATTCACGATGTGACTCTTCAGGCAGCTGATCGCACTTTCCCGGCTCACAAGTATGTTCTGTCCATGAGGTCTGATTTTTTCCGGAAGCAGTTCATGACCACGAACTGCAAGGTTGATGAGGAAATCGATTCAGACGTGAAGAAGAGCGAAGACGCGGTCGGTTGCACTCTACTCACTTTTGAAAAGATCCCAGCGGATATGTTGGAATACGCCCTCAACTTCATTTATACCGACTCATGTGAGTTGCTGGTGAATGGAGCACAGCCAAGAGTGTCGGGGTACTTCACAAGACAAAACCAAGTGAGAGTAGTAGAGTTACACATTCAGTTAAAGTATGTAAAATGTTAGTATTGAATCAGATATACTCTATGCAGTAAATGTGATTAATCAATCACCTTGGATTCAACTGTGCTTATTTTAAGAAGGCAAACTCACTTTCACTGTTATTTTGGCCAGGACTCAGAGCAGGAGAGGCTTATCACTAGCCTTCAGGACTTGGACCTAAAACGTTGCTCAGCCCTCGAAGTCTACCGCTCCCTCCCCAATGCAGCCAAAGGAGTTGGTGACAAAGCCAAGAGCAAGGGATCCAAATCTGGCAGGAAGAGTAAAGGAGGCAAAGGTGACAGGGCAGGAGCCAATGAAGGAGGAGCCAACCCTGTGAAAACCCTTCAGGGGGTTGCAAAGATGCTGGGCCTGGGAAGCCTGTCTGCACAGTGAGTGACCCGATAACAATCAGATGGAAATTACATTTTGTGAATTTTTTTATTTTTTTGATCCTGTTTTCATGCTCTTCTACAGACTTGATGGGGTCAAATATGAACATGGAAAAATTATAGTCACACACAAAAAACAAGGCAACAAGCCCAAATTCTGCCAAAGGAAGTGGTGTGTATATTGCTGGACACCAGTAGCTGTAAAATACATTTCATATAAACGTTTGTATTTTCAGATTTGAACCCATTTGTGTCTCCATAGCTCCTACCTTTGTGATGTAACTCTTAAATCTGAAGATGGTAAAGAATTTCCCTGTCACAAAAGTGTCCTCTGTGCCAGACTGGGTGAGATGATGAGCTGACACAGAAACTCACAGATGTTTAAAGTCCATTTCATTAGCTTTAGCTTTTGATTTATAACATAGATAACATAACATTTTCAGTAAACTTTTTTTTTTTTTTTTGCTTTTTCTCCATAGAATATTTTAACAGTATGCTAGGAAACCCCTGGATTGAGGTCAGTTGTGTTGTTTTCATGTTACACACTGTAGCTACATATATAAAACATGATTATATTAAATCCAATTTTATAAAACATTACTATAAGACTGCTGTTTATTTCAGGCGTCGTCCTGTAATGCACTGGAATTGCCCATCAGCTCTGAGATTCTGCAGGTCATTCTGGAGTACATTTACACAGATGAGTGTCCCACCATTAAAGGTAAGTTTTATATTATTTATTTTTAATAGGAGATTTTTGTTTCCATCACTACTAGTTGTTTCCTTTCTGTGCCCAACAGAGTGTCTGAAAGTAGAGTTTGTGTGCAGTGTTCTGGTCGTGGCCGACCAGTTGCTCATCACACGACTGAAAGAAATGTGTGAGGTGGTCATCACTGAACACTGTAAGTTTATTTGTTCACTGTGGCTTTACTTTGGGCACTATTATTTTTGTTTGGTCCAAGTTCTAAAATAACTATTGTACATTTATCTGTTAAAACAAGTAAAACAAATACAAAAAAAACCATGGTGTTTGAGTTAATCTTTTTAGCAACAGAAATATACAATATATAATTTATTTGAGGTTTTTACGCATCTTAGTTAAGGTAAAGTTTGATTTGTCATATAGGTCTTTACCATCGAGCAGATCTCTTTATACTGAGATAATAGTGACTGTTCTCTTACTCCTGTTACTATACTACTAATGTTCTCTCTCTGTCTCTTTCTCTCTTTCACTTTTCTGTGCCTGGGTGTGTGTATTTTTAAGTACAAATACCTCTGATTTACCTGATTTATTTGCCTTTGTGCTTTACCTCTGTCTTTAGTGACTTTGAAAAATGCTGCAGTGCTGCTGGAGTTTGCTGCCTTGTACAACGCAGAGCAGCTTAAACTCTCCTGTCTCCAGTTTATTGGGCTCAATATTACAGCACTGCTGGAATCCAAGTAAGAATAAAGAAATGGATTTTTTTTCTTTCCACATGTTGTACATATATATATATATATATATATATATATATATATATAAAATGTGTTTTTTAAATTTTAATAATGTAGAATATACGGCCACATGGTGGTGTTATTTAGCAGTATTCGAATCATCCAATGGCGCCTATTTAGGGATATAAAAATCCTAACCCTTACATTTTGCAGAAATTTTATATATGTAATGTGTCATCATCTCAACGTGAGACTGTGGAAATACTGATGTATGCTGCAGCAGACACAGAAGATAGAACTTATGTGTTTGTTGGTTTTCCTGAGCTGTGTCTTTTTTTGTGTTTCCAACAGAGCTCTGGATATTCTCAGTGATGAGGTGCTGCTGGATGTATCTGCAGCGTACAGACAGATGGTGAGTCACACCACAATGACTTATGGCTTGTTTTTGAAACAGATGGGTTTTTTTTTTATTTCATACATATTTGGATTATGTGCCTGAGGTGTATGGTTACTGTATTATGTAATTGTTTTCACTTAGTCATTTGTATATTTATTCAAGGTTCCAGCCATGCAGAAAAGAATCATCACTCCGTACCACGGTGCTCCTGACCTCAGCTTTTATGTTCATGAGGATTTGGACTCAGCTTTTAACCTTAAACCAGATTCAGGACTGGATCAATCTTCCAGGTAGATAAGCATGTTATTTTATTTAAAGTAAGCAAAGGTATCAGCTCTTCATTCTGTACGTTTTCATCACCCATAGAGATGTTCTTTTCAAGAAAGCAAAGATAAAGGCCAAAAAGAAACCAAGGCGTCGATCTGACAGCTCAGGGGGTTACATTCTCTCTGAAATCATCCAGAGCCCCACAGTTACAGGTATAAAATCTACGGCCGTGCAGATATCAGCTGAATTTAATATAAAGGCTGTTTACATGTTAAATACCTTGGTTTTATTAACACATATTTTCCCCTCTCAGTGGGGTCTCAGCGCCTGATGAAGTCAGACAAGGCCAACTCCACTGAGTCCCTGCAGGAGCTGCTCACATCAGACTCCGAGGGCAGCTGCATGGGTCTGGGCAGTCCTCGGGAGATGCAGTCACCTGTGTTCACCGAGAGAGCAGAGGTTAATATCTGACCACTACAACATGCAAACAGGAAACACCTCATATTTTAATAATTTTAAATGTGGGATGATTTGCATTTCATTCCTAGAAATAAAATTTGCCACACACAGATATGGTGACAAGTTGTTACACACTGACTTACTCGATACACATTACCATGCACTCCAGTGTTTCACAATATTTTGAGTCACATTTACTCAGGAATCAGAGAAAGACACACAAACATAGTTTCCATAGCCATCAGCTGCCTCTTAGTGGATGTTTGTTTTTTTTGTTTTTTTTTTATATTTTTCACAGTACACCTGACATCTGTCACAGCACTCAAATGTGCCATCACTGCTATACTATATATTTTAACATAGTTTTAACAATATTGTCTATATTTTTAATCTTTAGGATGAAAAATCCTTCAGTCAGAGGCTGAAGACTCCACCTAACACACCGACTTCTCACAGAAATGGTCTGCTTACTCCCCCCAGATCTGCTTCACAAACTATTCACAATGCCCAGCCCTGGTAAGTTGAACAAACATCATATACTGTATCTTGTGCTTTAGTTGTTTTTCACCTTTGATGAGCAACTTGGTGATGTGAACAAACCAAGACTCAAAAAAGGAAAAAATAGATTTATTGTAGGTTTGAACAGGTTTTTAAAATTACATCTGAAATTTTAGTGGATTGTATCAATATTAAATATGTACAACTGTATTTTTACAACTTGCAGTCCAGCTCTTCCAACACCAGTGTTGGATCTGAGAACCATCATGGACATGGAAGCAAACTCTCAGCTGCCTCTCGGAGCGACTCCTAAAAGCCCTGGAAGGTAAAGCAGTTCTGCCCTATTTAGAAGCTGTTATTTACTGAAGCCAGTCATCCAGGTTAGTTGAAGTCCAGTCAGGGGGAATAGTAAAGAGGAAGCTCTGCTGTGTTATATTGATGGACATTATTTATTCCTTGTTCACTTTGGCAACTCTGAATGAATTTTCCCTCCTTTTTTGCAGTGTCAGCTCCAGTATCAAACACTCCCCAGTTACCACTAAACTGTCCCAGAAGCAGAGAAAGATGCTGGCCTTGGCCAGCAAGGAGGCCAATGTAGAGGCCACAGCATCCAAACCTACCCCTACAGTTACCCCATCCAAGAGCACCGGGAAGGCCTGGTTAGTTCGTGCAAATATGAAGACCACTGTCTTTCTACTGTCCTCTAGATGGGTTTAAAACCTCGCTATGGTTATTCAAAGTTATAATTTTAATACCAATGGAATGACAATTTTAATTTAGTTTTCAACTTTTTTGTATGAATGACCTTTTTAATGCTATTTGTATTGGGCAACCAGAGTGGAATAACAGTGATGAAAGAAGAATATGACATAAATTCTTTAATTCCCTAACTGAAAACTGAAACTTTTTACATGTATTGACTAAAACAGATGAGGGTGAGCTGTAAATTATAGTTAGATGTAATTTAAATAATAATACAATACATTTTTGGCAAGACCGTTAAGGGTTGCATCATTTTTGTAATTGGAGCCTGTGTGGCCCTTAAATGCACTATATTGAATTTAAAAAAAAATTAAAATGTTACACGATTGAGTGGTCTCTTAAAACTGACTAAAATATTTCCTTTGACTCTATACAGTATAATCAATGTGAATGAATGAATTTCTCGGTCTTCAGGGCACTAGCTGTACAGTCTCCTCCCTCTTCCTGCTCATTCCGGGCACTCCTGGAGGAGGAGAAGTGCCTGATCAGACTTGGACAAACTGGAACACAGAGGAGCCATGGTCCTCCAGCTTCACCTGTTACCCCCACTGTCTCTGCTGCCCGCAGGGTCACGTTCAAATGTGAAAGCAACCAGACAGAGAAGGTCACTGGGTGAGTAGATCTGCTATGTACAGAACACACACTGAGGCAGAGTGTAGGCAATACTTAACTGGCATCACTGACTACATGCTTGTGTTAATGTTTGTCCACTTGGTGGCACTGTTGATTTATATAAGACGACGACAAACGAGACTACAAAGCTTTACAGTCATTATTCTTTGAATTGACCTTTTCCCTTTAGAAAAAAAAAGGAACTGGGTCCTGACATGCAGGCAACACTACGTGTTTGTGTCGAATCCGAAATGTCTGTTTATCCGTCTTGACTGGATGATTTGCTGTGAATTGAAAGACTTGTGAGTCTGCAGTCACAATGAGGTGAATAGCTTTAAATGACCCGGTTCAGCTGACCTGCTCACAGACGCTGAGGTCACTTTGACCTTTACAGCTGGACAAACACAGCTCTCATACACACAAACACGCACCCTGTCTGACTCCATTTCAAAAACGCAGGTGATTTACAACTTCAATGCAAGGAAAAAAAAACCCTTCTGCTCTCACTTCTATATGAAGCCCTATTTCGATGGAAACTAATCAAAAGCTGAACTTATTAGCACGTCTCTGCAGGTTTTCCATTCACGTCAGTTATCTCTTCGTTGAGTGCTGACCTCTACGTATGAACATGTGTGAGTCACTGCAGTCAAACCAGTGACATTAATCAGAATTGATACGAGCATGCTTCACGTCAGAAAGGATCAAACCGAACAAAATGGTTTCATGGTTCTTCCAGGTATTTGGTCAAAGTGGAGAAAATAAAAAATAAGGTCACATCTGCTGAAACAGCCTCTTTTAGCATGTCTATCTTTTTGGACACTATATATTGATTTATAGGCCAAGATTAATATGGATTCTTTGAGGATTTTATTGCATTCGTCTTTTGCAGACCTGTTTGTTGGCCAGGTTGACATGCACAGCCCACGTTGGCTCTTGGTATGTTTTTACATGTTCATCTATATGTAGAAATGTGCTTCTTCCCACTCGTACAAATGGCCAAAAATCAGAACCCGTTTCACACTGAGTACCTAATATGAAATGATGGATGCTAAATGTATAACTGAACCCCTGTTTACTGCGTCGTAACATCTGTGGCTCCTGTGGATCTAAGCAGGAACTTGTGTGCCATGGTTAGAGTTTGCTTCCTCTCCTGACTCTGGTGCGTTTTGACTGTTAAATGAGATTAAATCATTTCATTTAAGCTCAGGAGTTTCCACCAGTAGCTCCAGTGTCATTATTTAGCTTTAATGGAGGAATCACAAAATTGTGGCAAGATTTTTGTTGTTGCTAGACTACCGTTGAACTACTTAATCACAAAGCCTGTGTGATGTAATGTGTGTGTGTGTGTGTGTGTGTGTGTTGTTGTGTAAAATAAAAAATGTCTGTTTGGATGAAAATCAAATCAAATCTCTGAGTATTCTGCAACGGTTGCCCTGGACCATGACGGTAGTATTTGATTCAACCTTTATCCTCTCCAAACGCCCTCTTAGTCCCCAGTCACTGATATCCACCCTCACACTGTCTCTCCCTTTCTGTCTCCTCATAAACTCCCTCAGGCCCTGGGTCCTGGGGGCAACAAGTGGCCCTCCCCCTTGCTCCCTGCTGACCTTTGCTGCCATCGTAGAGGAGGAGAAGCAGCAGGAAGCGGCGCTGATCCGTAGCCGAGAGAAGCCTCTGGCTCTTATTCAGGTAACGTGTCTTGTCCGTGTGCATTAGTGCTTACACACTCGCCCACACAAACACAACAGCTACACGACCGAGAGTATGCCGCATACATGCAGCGTCCAAGTGGAAATGTTTGTGTCCTGGCTCTCTCTTCTTATCGAAATGAGGTGTCTCTGATTCTTGAACTCTCTCAGCTGTGTAGCTGTCATCAGGTCTCCGTCAGTCACACAATTTGTTTGTTTTTTTTTTCTTGTGGCTTGCTTTTTCCAATTATGTCAAGTCCTAATATCATTCCGCGCCAAGTGTCAGTATTTTTCCCCTTTACCCTCAAACACTTGGTGGTTTTGGTAACCACATTGTCCCGGGTTGCCTCTCTTTTTTTTTTGGTCCCTTTGTAGATTGAAGAGCGAGCCATCCAAGACCTCCTGCTTCATTATAAGGCACATGACAACCCTGATGAGCTGATAGTGGTGGAGAGGTCCTCCAAGGGTCCCATGGCAGTCCCAACCTGGAACAAACATTGACTATTTAGCACGGCAGCCACTACATACCATAGACGTGAGAACATCCCCTGGAGGCAATTGCAGTGAGTCTGTTGCAGATTTCCTTTAACTGTCATCAGGTCCATCGGTCCGTGTTATGATCAGTTCAAAATGAAGCATATCTGAGGAGAAGTCCAAGCTTCCCTCTGCAGTGTTACTCTTACTTCTCTTTTTGTTGCTGCTCAACATTGTGTTTGCGTGCACAACTGGGTGAGCGATTGTTCTCAAATGTGGTCATGAAGGACATTTTTGCAGCTGGGGCAACTTATGCATGTGTGTTTTCTTTTGTTGGCTTTGTGCCCAAGTTTAAAAAGAAAACATAACTCTGCCACATAACAAATATTAATTTGTGATGATAAATTTGCCAAATGAGAGATTTAAAATCCAAACAAATGGGTCCAAACTAGATCAATTTCATTGTGTTCAACTAACAGACGCTCCTGTAATTGTGTTTTAAAACAGTGCCAACTGCTGTGAATCGGGCGTGTGGTCATTTTCATGGTACATTTGTTTTTCCCTGATGGTATAATTATTATTAGTAGTATAAGTTTTGCTTCAGCTGAGTTGCAGTGGCATGTTGATCTTGACGTATTCTCTAAGAATACACGTTGAACATATTCAATGTAGTCGAAGTGAATGGGGAGACGGCTCAGTACAGTGGAACAAATCTCCAATATAAAAGAAGTGATTTGCCGAAACACAACATTATAAACCTCACAGATTCTCCATAAAGTCTAAATATTTTTCCCATTTTAATTTCAATCGGTTGTTATCCCGTCACATTTTTTACTGGATATAGTAAAAACGTCCTAAGATGCTCAGATCTGGACCACGTCATTGTTTTTGAACGTGTGGGTAACACATAGGAGAGATGAAGAGAAAATGGCATGCAATAAAATATATCATCTGTGCAATAATCCTGTCTTCTCAGGTTTTCATTTGACATCACAGTGGATGGAAACAAAACATAAAGAGACGGATGCATTTAATTTTCTCATTTTCTATTTTTTTTTTCTTTTCTTTTTTTTTTTTACACATTTAAAACAGTATTCCTTCCCTGCAGTGAAAAAGTGACTCTTGCTCTCTTTAATAAAGATGACATTTAATCTCCCGGTCCTCTGACACTTCATCTGCCCGGCATGAGCAGTAAACCATTATCTAGTCCCGGCCCTGATTAACTGTGATGACCCTGATCTGAGCACAGAGTGGCGTGATTGAGATTTTATTGGCAGTAATTGCAGGTCGAGCATCGTATTGGAAACAACGTGAGGGGGAAATATTAATTACACATTAAGCTCCATTAGCTGCTGCAGAGGTGACAAGTCATAAGGAGTCAGAGTGACACGTAGAACCTAGAGCTGTGTGTATTTGACAAAGACTGCTCATCCTCCCGTGTCTGTGCCTGGAATCAAATTGAACTGGTTTTGTGGTCAGTGACGCTTTAGAAATTAAGAATTACATTAAGACCAGTGTGAAAGGAAGAAATGTGAAAATGTTCTTGGTAATTCGTCTTTGCCTTGGCTTCTCTAATAACTTTTTTCAACAGAAACTTTGTTAAAAACTGTATAAGTCAAACCAGTGGATTTACTTATAAGGTTAAAAAATATACCGGTATATGCAATAAAATGTATGTCTGGTCAATTGCAGTGGGGTACTGCAGTCGTCTGATTTGGGTGGGGGAGATTTCACCCGTCATCACAGGACCTAAATCACCTAAATAAATGAGCAACCATTCGCACTCACATTCACACTTTGAGTGAATTTAAAATGATCAATTAACATAAGTCTGATCATTGCTCTGTAGTAGTACATGTTGTAGTACATAAATGTATTCAAATACAATGTTCCAACAGTCTTTCTAAATCCCCTTTTTTTATTGTAGGTAATACCTTTTTTTGTAATTAAATTTGATTTTGACTCATGCCAGAAACCAAAAAAAATTTGCGATTCACCACAAATCTTTCCTATTGTTAAACAGGATCGGCTCCAGTCTCAACCATTACCACAAACAGGACAGAGAGGGGAAAAAAACAAACAAAAAACCCAAATGAATGTCTTTGTACAATATTTAGAATTGTCTGAAGTTTTTATATGCAGACCTGCCTCTGAGGCCGACAAAGACTAAAGGGAAAATACAGACATTAGTGTAAGTTCCCTTTTGTAATATTTTTCATTTTTATTATTCTCTGCAAAAAGCAGTATTTTAAGCCTTCAACAGTCACAGTAACTCTTAGAGTTTATAAGAAAAACAAAAACGTAAAACAGTGTAAATGTTTTGATTTTGGGAAAAAATGACCTGTAGATGTAACATCAGCATGGAACACAATATTCAAAATAAACCCATTAGATTTATTTCCAAACCATCTTCCGACCAGTGAATTTTATAATGAAATTTGACCATTTCTGGTTGGTAAGCCTGAGACCTCTGATTCATAACCACTGTTGCTTCTGGGCCTTAATTCCTTTTTTTTTTTTTTTTTTTTTTTTTTTTTTTTAGGTCTTCTGTCAATTTCGCATTCTCGCGCTGTCCTCTCCGTCAGATAAATTCCACAGTCTTTCCATATCCACTCTGGCCTGAGCTACAAATACTTCCATTTGGAAGATGTTGCGCTTGATCACATAGTTGTGCAGAGAAGGTTGTGAGGAAGGTGCACTCTTCCTTTGGAGAGATGGTGTAGCGCAGGACCAGGCCTTACAGACTTCCTGCCAGGCAGATGGGAAAGTCATAGGGCCTTCCTCCAGACAATGAGGATAACTTCAGGAATTATTTGTTTATGGAGAAATGAATTGATGCGGGAGACGCTCCATGGAAATTCGCCCACATCTTCAATCTGCTCTAAATGAGCATGCCAAAGCAAATTGAGGAAAGCCACATTTCTGGATAGTTTTATTAGTCGTCAGTCAATCAGGCCGCTGGTGTCTGTCAATCGTAAGAGTTCTGTCTGTGTAAATGAGTCCTAATAGAACTACAGAAGACGTACAGTACGGTGTGAGGAACTGAAAAAGTGTCATAACATTGTTGCTCCTACTGCTTTACTGTTTTTTTTTTCTTAAACGCAGTTGTTTTATGCTCTAGGTTTCATTGGGAATGTTTTTCACTTGGTGGCATCACCAATCAAAAATAAAATTAAAAAAATACCTAAACTACGGCAAAAAGCCAAGAATAGACAGTGATTCAGCACAGAGACACAGAGACACATACTGTAGAGTCATAATTAAGGAAAACTACAATCAAAGATATGTTTCATTTTATATTTAGGAGGAACTCGTTTCATAGAGTGAGTTGAGTAAGTCTCAGAGGCCTCTGTGAATTGATGGTATTGTACGGGGGCTGCATTACTATGATGGCATCTGTTGTACAGTATGTGAAGTACTTCCTCCCTACTTCTGAAGGAGAAGATTAATTCTTCATGGTACTCCAGGACTACATGCTACGTACCGTGTCATCCGTCTCTGAGGAGACATATTGAGTTTGGTATCCTTGGAAAGTATGTGACCCTGAACTTGATGCAAACTGAGTATGGTTTGGATGCAGTAGTGCTGCACAGTGTCAGCCGGCTTTTGGCTGCTTGGTACGAGATTTCAATATTTTTAGAAGCTCCAGGAAGCAGCGTAGTTTATTTAGCAACATGAATTTACATGTATTAAAAGCTGAGTTCTCTAGTTAACCTGGGCCTTGGCTAAGATCCAGTGATGGACCACTCCATATTAGACATGGCATTACTTATCAAAGGTGTGTTTAGGTGTCATTTACTGTACAGCGGGACATTCAGCAGCAGTGACAGCAGATACAGGAGCAGTCATCCATAATACTCCTAAGAACTACTTAGGAGTTATTCATTCTCCACTTTGGCTCTAATGCTGCCATCTAGCTCAAAGAGCTTTCAGTCTGCTTAGTTTCTTTTCAGAGCTTCAGTCAGTGAGGGTCGGCTGCCCCCCTTACAATCCCACTTACTGGTCATGGAGCCAGTTAACGTTGGATTATTTGACCTCTCACCGTCACTCTGCCTGCAGCTCTACAAAGATCATTAAGGTTTCAGAACGTGAGGCAGAGAACTCACTCTGTACATGTGGTCAGAACGTGAGAAGCCTTCCTTGGCTTCATGTGACAGCGCTGTGACCACGTGTCCCTGGCAAAGAGCAGGATCTTGTGACGTCCATACAGAGCCTCGTCCCAGAGCTGGTGCCAAGAAAGCAGGGGGACGTGAGCACAGTTGCTCTCAACGTGAAGGAATGTTCAAGCAATTCCAAGTCGTTAGTGCACTTTTCTGACACTTCCACTTTCATAATTATATTTTCACCTGTCTGGAACGATTCATTTCAAAACCCTGTCAAACACTTTAACACCTTCAAGTCTTTATTGCAGCGTAGGAGGTTGTTTAAAGAGCATTTGTCATTGTTGGGATGGTTGTCACCAATTCAGCCAAACTCTGCTTCATTTTCAACAGACTTTGCATTTGTTTTTCTTCCTCTCTTTTTCATCATTTGCTAATCCTCACCTTATTGCTGGTCTGCAAGGACTGTTTTAGCTTCTTGGTGACACCTTTTCTAGGCTAACTTTTATTTAGAATCAGAATTCTGTTTTGTTATTTTGGTAACTTTATCTGCCGTGTTTGTTAAAATATCTTTTTTTTTTTCATTCTGAATAAATTAAAGCTTCTATCTGCTAATGTGTTGTAGCAGTTTTCTTTAGATAATTTTGCATAACTTAAAAATATACCATTAACCTTTAAGATCTTTTAGTGTGGTAAAACTCATTGGAGTCTTGGAGATACAGTATTATACTGTAATTCCCTGAATGGTGAAACCTTTGTTTTCATCAAGACACTGATTGCCCTGCATTTTGTCACATTTTTGATTTACAGCTAAGTTGCTGTGGTTAAAGGGACACACCTGTGAGAAGGTGCAGTTAAAAATATTACAGGTGCAATTACACCATTCCAGATTTAAAATCCATTCCTTCAAGTCCTTAAGTCCGAGGTGTGGCTGTTTGATGTGGATATAATCCAGCATACCTTTGGCATGCTTTGGACCAAACACTGAAAAGACTGTCATATCATTTGGGTGAAGGATAGAAAGCCAGAAATATTCCGTACAGTACAATGATCACAGCGCGTCTGCAACATCTATTAGTGTCTCAAGTGCTTTCGCAGCAGCAGCACTGAGCTTCTTTACTGTCTCTGCTGCAGGCTGTGAGAGCACAGAGATCCCATAATAAGGCAGATTGGGTGCGATAGGCCTCCCTATCTGCCTATGATTTAGGAGTCGCGTGCATACAAAACAAAATTCCAAAAACCTCATATAACCTGAGGTTCTGCTTCCATGTCACAGGAACGATTCTCCAGCTTTTTGTCACTGGGGGTCAGGAGGAGTTGGAGCAGAAATAATCTAAATCCCAATTGTGTTCAATACGCTTCTTGATCCACGACCAAAACAAACCCTTCCGTTGACAGTGGGAATATCTGTCTGACAGCTGGGACAAAATAATGTTACCATGCTGGAAATCTAGTTATTCTCCAGGAGCGGTGGGTGAGGGTGAAGCTGAGAGGAGACTCGGCGGGGTGGACGATGAGTAGATCTTTGTTTTCTGCACTGATGTCATTGCTCGCTCTGCTTTTCAGACGCTGCTGCTCCAAAAACTGCTGGAGCAGATGTCAGAGCATCACTTTACTGCAGAATTTCTGAGGTCAAGTGTTACTGATCCAATCTGACACCCACTTATTTCATCTTCTTCAGCAGGTCACACAGGCAGTAACTCACTGTCATCAGAGCCGTCTGGGCAACGGAATGGGGGAAATTCATCCTGTTTAACAGCAGCTTTTTGTTTTCTTTTAACCTCTAAGCGTTTTGGGTGGTATTTTGGTTCATTTCCAGGGCAATTATACAAAACATTACAACTACAGACAAAATTTAAGTTTTACGTGTCTGGCAAATGTATATATGTATGTATATATGTATGTATATATGTATGTATATATATATATATATATATATATATATTAGCTTCCAGCTGACTGTTTCTTTTAAGTGGCCACTACAGGTGATGCTGTAGTGAATTTGGCTGATGCACTTAATTTTGTGAATTCATTTAAATCATACACTCGAACAATAACAACGATAGAAAGAAATGCATTTTTTTTCATGTTGAACTGTTCGGAAAAAAGACACAAAGGGGAGAAACACGTTCATCAACATGTTCATTATGATGTGTGTTTAAAGTTAGGGATTCATTCATTCATTCATTCATTTTCATCCGCTTATCCGTTACCGGGTTGCGGGGGCAGCATTCGCCACCCAAATCACATTGCACCGTACCAAACCTTCCTGTGGGTGGTGAGTCCATTGGAAGGTACCAACCGCCCTAACCGGGATTCAAACTTGCCCAGGAGGTGAACCCTGGGGTTCCACACCAATGACAGAGACATTGCCTCTGGGCCAAAGCGCCACTAAAGTTAGGGATCCCACTTTTATTTAAGGAATTCTACATACTCTTACTCATGGCTGCTCACATTTATGAATTCCTCCGTTCACTTCATTTTCATTCCTTCTGTTTTCCAGTGTTCATCAGCCCATACATCCTCCACTGTGTGGTGTGTAATGAGGTGCACTGTAATATTTAGACAAAACAAATCATCAGCAGGGCTCAGTTTTACAGTGTGTGTTGTGTTGTGTTACTGTTGGCTTCTGTCAGGGTCTTTGATTTAGCTTTTCACAAAGTGACTGCACCATGAACGGCCTCATCTCTCCCCACACCTGCAAAACAGATATCTCAGCCCACTGTAGCGAACCGAGCTTTGAGCAGACATTTCCAGATGCGGGACTAGTTTTTGAAAAAAGCATAAGATGAATCAAATATTTACCCTTTTCCACTCTTTCTGAATGCAAAAAGTGATTTTAGAAAATGAACCTCTCTAATCCAAAATCTGCATCAGATCACCAACAATTTAAAATCCTTTGCTCTTCAAAGTTCGCCTCATGTTAGCCGCGATGTTTTAAAAGAGTTAAACAGCACACAGCAAATTACAGATCTTGAAATAATTATTTAATAAATCTCCTAATAAACTCAAATCACTAGTAGATTACAGCAAACAAAACTACACTGAAGACATTTGAAGTTGGTTCAGAACAAATTCCCAGTTACATAACTAAAACCAAATTCACTTCTAATGGATTTGAAGGTCTGATTGGATTAACATTTCTGCTTTTGTCACATCCAAATAAACATGCCTAGGACTTTGGGAGGAGCTGTCCAAACATCTCATTTGTGAACTGGAATTCCCCCCTTGTAGTATTCCTTGAGGTTTCTAAGGCTACTGTACGTTATTTTGAACTCCAGTAAACCTGACTGTGTCTGGTCCCTGCAGACTCTGATTGAGTGTGGACGTGCAGAGGCTGATTTCCTGTGTGGGTCTGTGGATTAGGACGGTGCAACAGAGTAAATGGGATAATCAGGGTTTACAGAGCTGGGCGGCTGTGGTGACGCAGGGGCTTTACTGTACGTTGTCTGTAGAAGCCTGAGTAAAAGCTGCCCCGACTGGACGGGGGTGGGGGTTCTATGTCTGCAACCTTCTCCAGGACCCTGAGGTCCAGACCCTGCTGCCACTCTGATCTGACGATGTGACAGTCTTACGAATGAAAAACCAAATTTCTCTGGGAATGCTGCTGTTTTTGGTGAATCTGTATTGTTTAAGGGTGATTCATAGAGGAATCCAATCACTGTTTTCAATAGTTCCTGAAATGGAAATGTTAAATGGGAAGTGTTCTGCTTTTATTTATTTATTATTTAATATTTTAGTTTTTAGTTTTAGTTTGGAGCCTGTCTTGTTTTAATATTATATTAGAGTCAAATAAGCTCACCTCAGACTTCTGCTGGTACCGTGTTCAAGTCTTCCCTTTTAATTCTCACGGATGCTCTTTGAATATTTGCATCATTTTGCTTCTAATTTCATACTTCCCTCTTTTTTCTCCAAAAATACTTATAATATCTTCATAGACAACATTTGACTCTGACTTATTTTGATAACTTCATATATGATCCTGCTGCTTTGTGAGTAAATTAGTAGATCTTATTGAATTAAGAAATGTACATGACTTAAATTTGAGATTTCAATGTGTTGTGTTGAAAATGTGTATTATATACACATCTACATATTGCAGAAATATACTTCCTTTATTTTCATTTTGAATCATTATTTTAGTACCTAGATTGGCCAACAGGAGGCGACATGCCAACGTAAAATGAGCTGTGATATAAGAATCACTTCAACTGTTGAGATTATAAAATACCTTAATGCATTTAGTATTTGTTTGTGTATAATTGTGTACAATTACGTCAATGGTCAGGTGATGTAACTACAGGGAACAAACCAAACGACCGCAGTGTGCGTAAAAGTGATTAAGGTGTTTTTGGTCTTTTTCGAGGTTTTTTTGTCCTACATTAATGCACATTTTCACATTTCCAGTTGGTGACAGACGGTGTATAAAGGACGAGGGACAGAGGGCAGTTGACCTCCTCTCTTATTTCCTCACACAAGGACAAAACAAAAGGAAGAGAAATAAAGAGAGTGAATGAGAGTGAGGAAGAGCAGAGAGATTTTACTGAGTGCGCATACACAGACAGAAACACACACAGGTGGTCAGTATAACGCGGAGGGCTCCATGGCTGCAGTGGGGAGGAGATATTTAAAAGTATGCCGGAGCTGCGCGTATAAATCATCCAGATTCCCTCGGGGAACTTGATCATCGGAGGCAAATTTTTCTTCTTCTTCTTTTTTTTTTTTTTTTTGCTTTACCAAAGTGCGACGCAAGAAGTAGCCTATTCATGCAAATATATCAAATGATGGGCGTGTCTTTGGGCGATGGAGTCACGGGCGGAAAAGCAAACCTCCTCCTGGATGATCCGCCACCTTCAAAGACTGTGATGCACAGCGCTCGGACGCACTGACAGCAGCACCGGAGCGAATGTTTGGAAAGCTCTAGAGACTCAGAGAAGAAAGCAAGATAGAAGAAGAGAATAGAAAGCTGGGACTCTTGTCTCCACGGTTCTACTGACTGGCTGCACTTTTCTTCAACACTAACACCAGCGCGGCTGCTGCGCCACTGGATCTCCGACGCAGACTTTTACGCACTGACGCGTTTCCACTCACAGTTTTAGTTTCTATTGATTTGTTCTGTTCGTTTTAGTTTTTCTCATTTTTCATCACTTTACAGGTCTTCAAACGTTTTTGACTTTGACCTGGATGAAAGTGATCCAAAAACAAAAAACCCAAAACAAAACAAAAGAATCTGTGCGTAAAGGCGCCATTTTTATTACATTTATTTCTATTTTATCTTCTGTGGACTTTTCCACCGTCGTCATGTCCGAGGACGACAGTAGCTCCACCACCAGCTACATGTCCGACACGGAGGGAACCAACGTCAGTGTCCTCAACTGGGAACAAGTGCAGCGGCTGGACACCATCCTGACGGAGACCATCCCGATCCACGGCCGTGGGAACTTCCCCACGCTGGAGATGCAGCCGCGGCAGATCGTTAAAGTGGTCCGCAGTCGGATGGAGCAGAAACAGATCCATGTCCGAGACGTGCGGTTAAACGGCTCCGCGGCCAGTCACATTCTGCACGAAGACAGCGGACTGGGCTACAAGGACCTGGACCTGATATTTTGCGCAGATATGAAAGGTGAAAGTGAATTCCAGACTGTGAAGGACATCGTTTTGGACTGTCTCCTGGATTTCTTACCCGACTGTGTGAATAAAGAGAAAATAACGCCGTTGACGTTAAAGGTAATTGCACCCACATCTTTGTGATTTTATTCTAGAACCAACATTCACTTTTAGATATATATCTATAATACTTCTTCATTGCCAATACAGATTAACGACTGTTGTTAGCGCAGCTTAAAGCCCAATCAGATCATTTATGTGAGAGTAAAATGTTTTTTTTTTTGTCGTTAAGAGGATTTAATAAATCCAATTTGAACAGGGATCCCGAGCTCAGGCATCTGTATCCAACATCCAAGTGCAATCCAGTCTCATATATTAGGATCGTCAGTATCGAAATACAATATTATGAAACTAAATGTTTTGTCGTTTCTTATGTAGCAATAGTAAAAGTAAGATATAGATCTTGAAAAAAAATGCAACTTTTAGACACTTATACATCTGTCTCTGGTAAATGCATTATTGAATCTCCTACAGCTGACAACCTGGTGTTTATTTTCTTTTCCCCCTCCTCCACACACACAGGAAGCCTATGTGCAGAAGATGGTGAAGGTGTGCAACGACTCAGACAGATGGAGCCTCATCTCCCTCTCCAACAACCGTGGGAAGAATGTGGAGCTGAAGTTTGTGGATTCTCTGCGGAGACAGTTTGAGTTCAGCGTGGACTCCTTTCAGATCAAACTGGACTCCCTGCTCCTGTTCTACGAATGCTCAGAGAACCCCATGTCTGAGACCTTTCACCCCACCATCATGGGTGAGAGTGTGTACGGGCACTTTGGCGAGGCCCTGGACCACCTACGTCATAAAATCATCTGCACTCGTAATCCCGAGGAGATCCGTGGTGGGGGTCTGCTAAAGTACTGCCACCTGCTGGTGAGGGGGTTCCGGGCTGCTTCTGAGTCTGAGATGAAATCCCTGCAGCGCTACATGTGCTCACGGTTCTTTATCGACTTCCCCGACATTGGCGAGCAGCAGCGTAAGCTAGAGTCATACCTTCAAAACCACTTTGTGGGTCTGGAGGACCGCAAATATGACTACCTGATGACTCTCCACGGAGTGGTCAACGAGAGTACGGTGTGTCTGATGGGACACGAGAGGCGACAGACCTTGGGCCTGATAGCAATGCTGGCGGTGCGAGTGCTCGCCGAGCAGAACGTCATTCCCAACGTGGCTAACGTCACCTGTTACTATCAGCCTGCCCCTTATGTGGCAGATGGCAACTTCAGTAACTACTACATAGCACAGGTCCAGCCAATGTTTGCCTGCCAACAGGCAGCATACTCCACCTGGCTGCCCTGTAACTGAAACAGCCGCCAGGGCAGAGGGAATGAGGAAGAGAGTGTGATGTGTTTAAACAGGACCGAGCAGCATAATTGCTGCCTCAAACCTGCCCAGTGTTTGTCAGCTGACAGAAAAAGGAGGCTTCTGTTTTAATGTTTTGCATCAAAGCTTGTTTTTGTTCATACATCGAGTATGAATGCTAAAGAATCTGCAGCTGGCTTTTTTAAAATCTGAAATTATCTATTCCAAAGTGAATATTTCACATTTCCCGAAACACCAAATTGCCTGGTCCGGCACAGGTAAGCTAATTTTGGAACAGAGATCTTTTGAGGTGACGTCAGAGGCCAAAGGCTGAATGCAAATGTGTGACAGCCTGTTAGTGCAGGCAGCAGAGAGTGGATTCTGGACTGATTGAATCTGTCAAAAAATCATTAGTCTGCAGGTTCTGAGGGCTTGCGGCAGAATTTGACAGCTTTTAGGGGTGTGTTTTTTTCTGTGACTCACACACTTTGTGGTGCACACACACCCCACTTAACTTTACCTGAATTCAGGTGAGCTGCCCTTATTTTTGGATCACAAACTGGCATTTCTGCCTTAAAGTATCTTTGAATATTATTCTGGTTGTTTTTTGCAGACCAAAGATGTTCCTCTCTTCACATTCATTTTGATGTTAGGGAAAATTAAAATATGAATACGTGTCTATTTGTATATGTGAACGTATGTGTGTTTATAAGTGCCTTCGACCTCTCTGAGGGTGGAAAAACAATGGGCAGAGGCCAAATGACTTTTGCAAGATTAGCCACAGTCTCTTGTTTATAGTCAGGCACACAAGGCAATTGCACCCCAGAGGCTTGTGAATGTATTATGTGAAATCATGTGTAGTCAGTGTTTGAGTGCATCTGGATGCTAATTAGCACCATGCAGTAAAGTAGCAGCAGTCACACGTGCAACTGATGGATTATTGTGGGAAATACATTTTTCATGTGGATATGTTTATACTCCAGATTTTTATCTTCTCTCACAGCAGTGCCAAAATGACTAACACAGGCATCACTTGGCGGCGTTATCCCATCAGATGTTGGTGCTTCTCCTGTGCTTGTCTGAGATAGAAAAAAAAAAGTCCTCGGCATGATAGATTAAGGGAAAGATTGTCTGACAGAGAGCCACTGTGTGTGTGTGTTCCTTTACTTCCCTCCTGCAGTTGAAGGATATTTGCCAAGACACCTCAGATGGCGATGAGACACTATTTGCTGTAGCACCCTGGCAGGGAATTCCTCGGCTGCTGCTGAAGAGCTTGAACTCAGCTGGCTGCAACCTGCAGGCGCTCCGTTCAGGGTCTAGAGAAAAAAAAACATGGTTGTAGCAAACTTTATGGTGGCCCAGCTGATACCAGCGTAAACTCTAGTGTCACGTTTGTGTTGTTTTAGTGCAGACAAGAATGAAGTGTGTAGACTAAGACGAGGAAAAAGAGACAGAGGACTGGAGGAAAGAAAAAAGAAGAGGAGAAAAATGGCATGAGGCAGAATGAGTCAGCCTGGAGAGATGGGTGCAGCTGGTGGTGGGGTTTATCTCTCTGGGACTACAATGCTTCATGGAGTCAGAATTTCAGGCAGTTTGGACTAGTAATGCGCAGTGCTGCAACGTGTCCCATTATTTGCAGCACCTCCTCTGACTGTGGCTAAAAAGGGTGAAAAGTGGACTAAGTGACTCTCACACCAGCACCACAAATTATTTTTTATTTATAACGACGCTTTAGAGATGACTATCGATGGTTTTTATGCTTCAGTTCTTAACAATTAAACGAAACTGTGTTTATTTACGGTATGTAACGTCATGTCATAGCTTTTTAAAACTATACCGCACTGTCACTAATGGCAAAACTGTTGGGTTCAACAACGGTTTGACCAACATAAAAAGAGAAAAAAAAAATTTCATTTCTTTACGTATCCTCTTGTCTCGCATATTTTCTGATAATTCATATCTGCTGTGTTCAGTTGTTTCTTCCTGTCAGTGAGCGTCCATGTCGACCGTATCCTTTGGATTGTGCAGGCCAATGTACTGTCAGTTGATACTCAGTTCAGTTCTGAGTCAAGCAGCCAACGTATAGCTAGAGAGCTCCAGTCTGCCTGTCAGCTAGTGCTTGTACCTCTCGGTAAGAAATTACCACAGTGTCTTGTGTAAGATCTTTGAATATTTGTTTCTGTTCATGCCGTCTTTTACAAAGGACACTTTGGAAAAGAGAAAAAAAGAATCCCCTTGTCTTGTACATGTATATTATATTTTTTAATGATTGTTATTTTTTTAAATGTATTATTAGACACTGCAGACGTCGGCAGTGCTTTTGAATCTGTGACCGGGCTTCAAAGGATATGTTCTCAATAGCTTTATTGTGATATTATGTCTTGTGTCCAATGGGTCAAAAGGTAAAAAACAAAAAAAGATGTTTCTTCAATAAAATATCTGAAAACCAGATTTGCAATGTTGCTCATCTTTCACCAGAGACTAAATCAAGTTTATAGTACTGGATTGTTCCAGGGATAAATGGAGGGCCGTCCAATGGAAACCTGCTTGTACTCTTGTTTTTCAACACTAAAGATGAACAATTCAGCATCTTTATTTCTAGGTTTTACTGCTGATTCTCTCAGGAAGGAAAATCATTGCCATGGCCTGTTAGGCCCAACAGGCCCAGAAACTAATCCTAAAAATCCCCTGCTGCCAAAAACAGGACTGTTTTTGACCTGAGATGATGATGTTTTGCTTTGTCGTCAGATTCTCTTCACTAACAGATGCCTAGATGTCCCTCAGATAATTAGACCCGACTGTCACATGACTGCAATGACAAATTGTCCTACATGTATGGAGGGATATGCATTAGAAAATACAGAGTGAGCAGCAGAGCCACTGAAATCACAGTGCTATATTTAGCTAATATGCTGTAAGAACTTAATGACTTCACTTAAGGTCATTAACAGTTTAATAATCTGAGTCATTGGGGAATGATTGACAGGTCTAATCTAAACTGCATTGCACATGCAGGTGTTGAGGGTGACCAACAACATCTGTGGTTTACTTGAGCTGTTCTGTTAATTAAATGATGTCATTAAAAAAACATCACTTTTTCAGCACAGTCACCCTGTCTGAAAATCATGTGGAAGTTTTTGTGGGAGGACAGGGTTTCTGGAAGTAGGGAGTTTCTTCCAGTGTGGCCAGTGTTATTTTCTCATGTGATAACTCTGTGAGTTTTTATAGTAGAAGGTCTTGAGCCCACTGTGACGGACCAGAGATAAATGTTCATTTTGCTTTGTTCCACTTGTGTGGAGCTTGACTGAATTGACAGAGGTCTGAACTGATTTGAACACACGAGGTGGGATTCAAACCTGTGATCTGCTGATAACAAACCTGACAATTGGCTCTGATGGACAAACAAATCAACTGTATGTGCATTGGAACAATTAAGTGAGATTTCAGTCCAGCTGTTAACATCCTGTAACTCAAAAATGTAGCACCATAGACTGTATATAAGAAATGGAATACATTTGTAAGTTATAAGAAGTCTGTGGGGAATACATATATTATCTGAGTAAACAGAATATGGTGTCAGTATTTGGATGTACAATCCCATCAGGGAAAAGAAAAAGCCTCCTTTCTTCACAGACTTCTTATGTAAGGATTTACAATAGAATTTACATCACATTTGTAATTTTGATAAATGTCATCAGACCACAGGTGTGTAGACTAATAACTATACGGAAAAGACTGAAAATTTCCACACTCATCTTCACATTTTCATCACATTTTTTTATCATTACAGGATTGCAGGGGCAGCAGTCGCCACCCAAATCACACTGCACCGTTCCAACACCCACGAACCGTCCTGCGGGTGGTGAGTCCACTGGAAGGTACCAACCGCCCTAACCAGGATTCGAGGAGGTGAACCCTGGGCTTCCACTCCAATGACAGAGACAGTTCGATCAATCAGGAAAGGTAACTAGAGTGACGACCTGTCCCGATTTACGTTGTATTTACGATATACACAGCAATTTTAGCGTCTTGTGTCCCACGTTAGGCAAATTGAACATTTCGTCCCATCTTTTCATTCGACATTACTTCAAACTATTTTACGTACCTGGCTGTCTATGGGCACGACTATCAGTGCGGTTCCTAGCGATGATAGGCCACTAAGTAGATAAGGCGGTAGCTGACAGGCTGAGTGGTGTGACAGAAAACATCCAAAAGTGTGCAGTATTTTTTCTGCAAGCCAAATGACACATGAGTTGTTTAAAATGACTGCAGTAGAAGTTCCTAGTGTTTACCATGCAGTACAAATGCACATTCATATCGGTCAACCGACTGTAGAAAATCTCAAATCTCAAGGGTGACTCTGCACTGGAGTGCAGTATTTCTGTTTTTTATTTTTCATGTTTTGGTCCCAGATAGCCATATAATCCACAGGAGTTGTTGGTTCTACAGAGACCTATTTTGTCATGCTTTAGCTGCGTATTTTATGTTGAATGTGGAAGAATTAAGATTTAATGTGTGTGTTTTTTAGGTTTAGGTCACATGTGTCAAACTCAAGGCCCGAGGGGCCAAATGTGTCCGTCAAGTCATTTTGATTTTTTTTTTTTTCACAGCAATCTACAATATTTGTAACTCAAATAAATAATAATCAAATGTAGAAACATTTATGTTAGTTATGGAGTAGTCACATCTATACAGTCTTCTAGTTACAACCGGCCCTTCAAGGGGAACTGTATTGCTGATGTGGCCCCCTGTGAAAGGGGGTTTGACACCCCTGGTTTAGGTTATATCTTGAGTACTATAGAGTTTTTGTTTGTTTTGTGGGAGTTAAAGACTCAAACTTGCTACTTGTCCGTTTTGGAGGTGGTCACCCTAAAGGCAACATTTACTGCATCAGTCATATTAGGCACTTTACCAATAACAATATATACATATATGTGCTTATATAATGTGTTTTTTTTAAGTTCTCTATTGAGTTGTCTGTCATAATGAAAAGAAAAAAGTTTTTTTCTCCATAGATTGTAGTATTTTTTTTTTAAAATACACACAATTACAGACAGGTTTTATTTAGTAAGAAAGCAATCGGCAGCTGCAGACTAAAGACTGTGCATGAGAAAGGGGCGGAGCTTGCCTTACTAATTAAAGGAAGTTCTGGAAAAGGCTGGATAAAAATAAGGTGGACTTATACCATTAATTAACATTTTCCCAAGACCTTTTCACCTCAGATGCAAGATGTAGGTTTCCTTGAATGGAACACGATGTGTTTTTTGGTAAGGTTTAGATGAACACTGACAATAAGGCATGATGGATGGCGATAAATAAGTGGATAACAACAAATAAGTAGAATAAATAGAATTAAATGTGCAGTCATTTTTACGTGTTGACCGTAAATATTCCTCTATTTGAGTTTTTGATTTAAGTTGCAGGTACCTGAAGCGTTTAAATACCACTCAAGCTGCTTGTGTTTGTTGTTATCCATCATAATCATGACAGTATTTAGTGCGGCTGTTGTTACAGACACGCCTTTGCATTCACTCTTAATTTCAGGCACGGCTTTGCTAAATCCCTTCCTTAGAAGTCAACTCATTTGAGCTTTGCACTAAAACGACGTGATTGATGTAACACCAGCGCCAAAGAGCCTAAATCTCCGCTCCCTAATTTGGCACTGGGCATCAAGTGAAATGGTGCTTTTAATTTGAGGGAGATTTAACTTTATTGTTTGAAGAGTGAGTTGTGAAAGACTTCAGTAGCTCACTGGCAGAGGGTGGCAGCTAACATCAAACACACAGGGAATTCACACACTAGTCTGAAGCAAACGTCTTCATAATTAGCCATTTATCTTTAAATAAAAGCTTAGACGCTTGTCAGTCACCCCGCCGTTCCTGGTCTCTCCTGCTCATCTGAGTACTCAGATGTTCTTTAATGGCTTTTCCACTGCAGGGATTGGAGAGGAGCCAGCTTCATGGGATTTCTGTCCTTTTTTCCTTCTCTGTTGCTGTGAAGAAATTTTTTCCAGATGAAAGTTTTATGGAGTAAGCGAGAATCATTTGGATAGTGGCTTGACCAAACTGGCTGCTGGGTCAGTCCGGTTAAGACAGCAGTCCAGACTGGTGGGAAATGATGGTCAGAGCCAAGGTAACGTGCTGTTTCAATTTATGTGGTTTTGCCTCCGAAATCCCCCTGAATAAGAGCATTTAGTGTAAGGTTTTTTAAGCCTATTTTAGGAGGATTGGATACTTCTGAGCAGACAGCACAAGAGCAGAAGCCCCCAGGCACAGAAACCAAATTCCATATGGCTGAGATTGTACAAGTAGTGAGGAATCATCATCATTTGGTTAACAAACGTGGAGGCTTTTACCCCAATTAAAGGGACTTATGTAAAGAGGTGAAAGTCAGTAATAGGCCACAGACAGCTGGATCAGCAGCACTGTTTTTTGTTATATTATATATTATATTAAATTCATTACTTTACTCAAAATCTTTAAACTCAACATCATTGAAGAAACTTTTTTTTTCAAAAATTTCATATATATATTTTTTGTGGAGAAACATGACAAACACTTTTGGAAAAAAAATGTTTCTAAAGATTTTTCAAAAAATAATTGTACTAATTTTTTTTTAAGCTATATTTTGATAAGAAACATGCAGAAAAGATAACATTTTGAAATATAATTTTTTAAAGATTTTCATAAAAATTTTCAACATCTGACCAAAAGGTATTAGTTCATAGGGCATATTTCTTTCTGACCAATCAGAACTTTGGTCGACCCAGAACGTATCAACCAATAAATGAAGGAAGACTTGGGGATAACAACCCTACTATTTGGAAATGAGGTTTGTAGGTTAGAAGAAAATCATCGTCTTTTATTGTCCTAACAGCTAATAACGTGATACATTTAATTATCACTGCGGCAGTATAAGATGACTAAATATTTAGGAAGCCTTAGCAGGTTAATCAACTCATGAAAGGTAGTTAGCCACTGTCGGACAGGTTTTAGGTTTCATGTTTGTTTTGGTGACAACATGCAATAGAATGTTGTTTATGTGGAGCACAGCTGAACCCAAGCTATGTATTAAAAAGAGGCGTGTCAAAACAGAAGATGTGTGTCAAAAAGACAGTAACGCAAGACAACTGTGTCATAGCACTGCACTGTTTCATACTTGACCTACACTCAAGCACTTAATCACAAAGGAAACCAGACACTGAAAAAAAAATCCATGGTCACAAAAAGTCAAGAGCAGGTGTCAAAGAGAGATAGTTGTTGTTGCTAATGTTTGAAGATTTATGTCCTTCAGTAAAAGAATGCCTGACAGAGCTGAAACCACTGAATGGAGCTCAGTAATTCACAGAACCTCGCTGAGGTTAGAGGTTCAGTGGGTGGAATGGGAGAGGAAAAGACAGGAGGAAAGACAAAGGGATGGTGTGTGTGTGTGTGTGTGTGTGTGTGTGTGTGTGTGTGTGTGTGTGAGAGAGAGAGAGAGACACAGACAGACAGAAGATAAGCGAGGGCAGGACAAAGGTGATCCTCTCATCTCAGAGATTAGGGTCACTGGGGTTAGCAGGTTTGTCTTATATAACTATTGAAAGAGAAGTGGAGCATAGTGAAGAAAACCACAAAGATAGATAGATAGATAGATAGATAGATAGATAGATAGATAGATAGATAGATAGATAGATAGATACTAAGGTAGGGGATACTGACAAAAACATTGATACTGACAGAGAGGCAACAGAATAACAGAGAGCAGGAAAGACAGACATAGACCAAGACAAAAAGACAGCGGCAGAAAACATAACAGTACAGTAGAACAAAAAAGAAACAAGGACAGGACAGGAGGGACTGAAACACTGACGGACAGAAAAAGAAGACAAAGATGTTAATGCTATTAGATACTGTATGTTGTGGAGCTAGTTCAAAGCTCTACGTAGGCTCAAGCCCGTTTCCTGTTGTCCTCTTTTCTCGTCATTACCACTCACAAATATGATAATCATGATAATCACTGTATCTTCAAGTAAGTGACTTAATAAAGCAGAGACGATTAACTCTGAAATATTCAGGATGAGTTTGCATGTCAATAGTTCTTCTTCTTGTGAAGATATTAATCAGCTGTCAAAGAGGTATCAGCTTCTTTTGTTGTGGTGGCGGTTTGTGACAACATGATTGAGAGAAAGAAAGGCACCTGGACAGGCTCGGAGGGAAATTGTGAAAACAAGTTTGTGTGAAGTTGTGTGATAGTGTACATACACCAGCAGATGACCCAAAACACAGAATATAACATAAAAGTTGTAGAAAACAAAACTGACAAAACTGAAAATTGCATATCAATTGTAACAGTAAACTGTGAAACAGCTACAAGTAGAAATCTAAAGCCAAACACCAACTAGCCATTAGCTAATGTAACTAGTTTTGTAACTGCCTTCCATATCAGAGCGTGCTATCGATTAGTTGTTTTATGAATATATTAAAGAATGTCTTTTTGCTATAAATAAACTGTAGGACAAAACAGCTCTAGTAAAAGTACTGCTACAGTACCCTTCATACGTATATGTGTTCATTAAACAATAATGATATGTGTGTGTGTGTGTGTGTGTGTGTGTGTGCATGTGAGTCCATGATGAGAGCAGGTGGTTTCCATCTAAAAACCCTTTCATATGATACGTGCATCCAGAATGTGGGGCAGGATAGTTTACTTCTCCTGACAGGTCTAGAGTGTTTCCCTGTCACACAGCCAGACCAAACAACATTACACCCATATCAGCACATCATTGTGGTAATGCATATGTGCAAGAAGCCTGGAAACCTGGAATCAAGTTATATTTTAGTAATAATAACAGGTGGCTCCAGATACTTGTGAGTGTTCAAACACATGTTGTAATTCCTGCTTCTAATCTTAGTCTCATGTAGCCGGCTTGACGCAAGTCGTTGAGTCGGTCATTGCCGACAGAATCCAAATGTGACGCGGGTGAATTCTGCACTGTTATGTTGAAGTGTGAGAAGATACACCATTGGCAAGCAGTTTAGGAAACTCATCCAGGGTGATAAATGTAAGAAAAGGCCCCAAAATGGATGCTAACTCTCAAGACAGATGTTGTAAAATCACTTTATTGTTAGCTGAAACTGTTGCCAAAAAGAAGTCTTGCCACACCGTCTGTGGATTTGGGCTACAAGATAAACTATTTTTTAGAATAATTCATAGACTTTTTTTTATAAGAAATGGACATTCACTAGTTCACTACAACCACCATAAGATGCAGACATTGAAGTCAATGAGGATTAGAATCAAACCAGACTTAGAGCTAAACCCTGTTATAACCCAACTCCCTATCCATTGCTCTCCCAAAAATGTCCTGCATCATCCTCGTGCACTTTTCTACCAATCCTACTTTCCTTATGTTGAATACACGTTTGTTCTTTAAATCATGTCATATGGTATGAAGAAGGCAAACTGTTGATCTCTTATACTCCTGCTTTGACTGGGTTCAAGCACCTCTTTCCTTTAATGATGGCTTTGTGTTAAACATGGCTTAAAGCTCAACTATCTAAAGACAATTTTTGACTTAGGGTAGTATGACAAATGTTGTCAGACTGTAGAAGAAGATAAAGGAGCTTAGATTTCAATTACACACCAGACTTTGTCTAATTTAAATGCTCATTTCTCCTCTGGGCATTTCACTTTTCAGAGAAGTCTTTTAGACGGGCTGTCATGTAACATGTTATCGTTAAATACTCATGTTAAGTGACCCCACTTTGTATCCATCTTGAATGACACATGACGGCCTCAGCAATCACTTAAACGCTCTGCTTTCAACACTAAGCTGCATACTGTAGGCAGCTTTGAAACTGATAGATTCAGACTTTTTGTCTCCGAAAGCATATTAGCATATAAGCATATAAAAAAGTTTCTATTTAAATAAAAACACTGTATGTATTGAGCTCCTAAAAGATTTCAATAAAAATTCTGTACATCACTCAGGACATTCAACTTGTTCTGTGACATTATATATTATTTCTTGGTAATTTTGGCAGATGCTTTGATGAAACTGTAAATTACTTGAGTATTTTTACAATACTTGCTGAACTTTATCTGTAAAAAAAGTAATAGAATAAGCAACGAAAAATAAAGAAAGAAAGACTTTCATATCAAAGCTGCTTGTGTCGCTTTGCTGTTGTTGTTTTCTAGAGAGAAACAATTAAACCATCTTTGCCATTGTTTTTGCTCATTTTTCCAATATATTTTGGAATGTTTCTTTGGCAAAACTCAATTTACTTTTTATAGGCTTGCCTTAATTTATTTTGTAGCTAATTAAGGATATTATCTCATTTTAGACTGAATGTATAAATAAATTATAGTCTTGCTTATTTTTGGTCATATTGTTGACATGTTTGGATATATTTTTTGGATATAATTATTCACTTGGTAGCATTATTTTTTGTATTTTTTCACGATGGT